AAAGTGAAAATCAAATGTTTATTCATCACCTACACTTTTTATATAGGGTACGTGATAATTATATTCACATCACAATTTTTATTTCTTATACTGTATTTTAGTTACATTTAATATTCTTAATCTTTGCTTATTATAGCAATTATATCCCTAACAATTTTTTATGTTGTTCTTATTCTAAAACTCTCCATTAGTTAACAAATTTTGTATTTGATAATGATTTTACGTCCAAAAGTCTGTCGAAATGACGTAAAATAACTTATTTTTTTATTATATTTTTAAAATATAAATAAATAAGAAGTAAGAAAAAATATTTTTTCTCTCGTTACAAAGCACGAAAACAAAATATTTTGATATGAACCATCATCAAAGACGAGAGGTACTAATTAATGGAACGTTAAAGATAAAAATTCGACAAAAAATGTTAAAGAAATAATTGTTACAATTAGCATATGCTAATGAGTTTAGTTGCAATTAAAATGTGACGTATCCAATAAAAATTGTGGTAGCAATATATTGTAGATTTAGATTAGCCAATTTGAATATTCAGCGAAAAATATAATATGAATGAACATTTATTTTAGTCAATTTCACAAACAGCGTAAGAAGAAATCTGTTACATTGGCCAATGGCTTGGGTTCCTTCTAGCCAAAGCAGCTGATTTCCAGGTTTAATATTAGCTAACAGAATCTATTTGCCAATTTATTTTTATTATTTATTTATTTATTATTATTATTTTAATTTTTTTTTGGTGGGTACATGTCATTCATTTACAACGAAGCAACATTATGCAGATAGAAGCAACTCTGCAATCAACAACAATTTACAAGATTGAAAAATCGTTGATTTGCACAAAAATATTGAATTTGCTCAAAGAATTGAAAAAACAAATCTGAATTTCCTCCAATTGCTATTTTCAGGACTATTTACTAAAAGCAAGTTTGGTCAAATTCATTATTTTCAACTAAATAATTGTTAAAATATGCCGTGGAAGTTGGAACAAGTCCGGTAGAAGTAACGTATTTCCTTTATTTGTCTATTCAACTCTATCAGCCCGTTTTGAAAAGATTAAAATTGAAAATATAGTCGTTATTGTATTACACTCGTCTAATAAAAGTCAACAATAACTGCGAGTTAGCACTTGTTTGACACCCTATAATTTATTGTAATTTTTGCTATATGATCATTTTCAATCACATTTACACAATAAAATATTCTATACGTAAACCCAAATTTTTTTCATATTTTTTAATTACACATTCTCCTGAAAAAAACTATTTAAAACTTTTTTTTTTTTTTTAATGGGAATCAAACAGGGGCTTAAAATGTCAACAAGAAGATATTTTTAAAAAAAATTATGAAACAAAATTCAACAAATCAAATTAATTAATCAGACAAATTAACTGATAGGGTATATATATTTTGCCCTGATGATTCTCGCCCGGATGGAAACTAGAGATGTCAACTTGAATCCCAATTCCCAAGTCAATGTTTAAAATTGCAGTTTGTAAATATGGACTATGTCAAGTCATTGACAGGAATTCAAACCTGATATTCACATACATACACACGGTTTCAATTCAAAACCAGCATTTTTCTTCATGACACCACTATTAATACACCATATTTTACCGTGTCCTGTGAAATACACAAATTATTCAGCCTTAAGCAAAAGATGGAAACTCCAAGCATTCGTTCCATTGTATTTGCTTTTCTTGTCCTCTTTTCGTGTTCATGGACAGTTTCTTCTCATGGACACAATGATTTTCTTCAATGTATGTCCCTTCAATCTAATAATCACACGTCTTTGTCCAATATCATTTATACACCCAAAAACAGTTCATACTCGTCCATCCTCAATTTCTCCATACATAATCTTCGATTTGAGTCAGAAACGACGCCTAAACCATTAGTCATTATTACCCCTGTGCATGAATCCCAGATTCAACCTGTCATATATTGTGCCAGAGAAAATGGCATGCAGATAAGGATTCGAAGTGGTGGCCATGACTTTGAAGGACTTTCTTACACGTCAGAAGTTCCATTTGTCATCCTTGATCTTGTCAACCTACGGGAAATAAATATTGATGTCGGGAAGAGAACTGCATGGGTTCAGGTTGGTGCAAGACTCGGCGAACTTTATTATAGAATTGCTGAGAAAAGTCGAACCTTAGGGTTTCCTGCTGGTGTTTGTCCCACTGTTGGTGCTGGCGGACATATCAGTGGAGGAGGATATGGAACATTGATAAGAAAATATGGGCTAGCTGCTGATCATGTTATTGATGCACGCATCGTTGATGTTAATGGAAGAATTCTAGACAGAAATTCCATGGGTGAAGATCTCTTCTGGGCCATAAGAGGAGGCGGAAGTGCTAGTTTTGGAGTCATTCTTGCTTGGAAACTACAGTTGGTGGACGTTCCAGAAAACGTCACTGTATTCACAATTTCCAGGACTTTAGAACAGAATGCAACAGATATTATTCACCGATGGCAATACATCGCACACAAATTTGATAAAGACTTGGCCGTTAGAATCTTCGTGACAAGGGTCAATTCAAGCCTCGATGGCAAAAGAACTCTTCAGGCTTCATTTCAGTCATTGTTTCTTGGTGGTGTCGACAGATTGCTTCCACTGATGCAGCAAAGCTTCCCTGAGTTGGGTTTGAAAAGAGAAGATTGCACTGAAATGAGCTGGATAGAATCAACCTTATACATCTACGAGCTTCCCTTAGGACCACTTGATGTTTTGCTGAATAGGACTGAGGCAAATATACGACACTTCAAAGCAAAAGTAGACTATGTTCAGAAACCGATTTCTAAAAAGGGGCTTGAAGGCCTATGGAAACGTTTTTCCGAAGAGGAAGCCGAGGAAGCTGAGATGTTGTGGGTTCCATATGGCGGAAGAATGGATGAAGTTTCAGAATCTGCCACTCCCTTTCCACATAGAGCTGGTAACATGTACAAAATCGAATACATTGCGTATTGGGACGGCGAAGATGAATCCGATAGATATATAAACTGGATTAGAAGAGTTTACAGTTACATGGCTCCTTACGTTTCAAAATTTCCGAGAGCTGCATACATCAACTACAGAGATCTTGATATAGGAGTTAATAGCAAGGGAAATACTAGCTATGCACGAGCAAGCATTTGGGGACACAAATATTTTAAGAATAATTTCAAGAGGCTCGTTCAAGTGAAAACCAAGGTTGATCCATCTAATTTTTTTAGGAACGAACAAAGTATTCCACCCCTATACTCGAGGTGGACCAAGAATGGGAAGTAGGATCGATGGGGAACATTTCTTAACTTTATTATAGATTCTTATAATAAGTTGCTTATGGATTAACATTTATCATTGTAAAGGAATATATATGATTGTTAAATTACATTTATACACGTGCATATTTTCCGGATGAATATGAAAGCATTTTGTTTATCTAGTTGGTTGCATAAATCAAGCAATCAAACCTAATTAACACGTCTACATCTAAATTCACCCGTATTAGCTTTCTCGAAACAGCTGAAATTTTCTTTATCTGGTGTCACAACTCAATATATTGGAATGTTAAACTTCAAAACGAACTCACGGTCACGGTCATGGTCATGGTCATGGTCATGTACATGTACAATTACTATTAATGCTCCTACTCGCGAATATTATATCAACACATCAATTGTGATCTTTATTAACAAAGAATTCGGTAATTCGTAACTTTTGGCATGATCAGCCAATGTGCCTCACATTTTAGTCACGCGTAGTTCAAATTGTCAACGTCCATCTCTATACATATATGTGTATCTAATTGTCTATATAAATATAAAGGGGGTTTGCCCCAATCATCCTAAGTTAATCACATAATAAGGATAGCAGAATTACCCTCGAAGTTATATCGCAGATGTACGATATCGTAACAAGTAATATAGTGGACCATTGAGTTCGGATTATCGTTCACATGAGGACTATACTTAGAATTTAATCCAATTTTTCTTAACTCCTATTTGACAAAAGCAAGTAAATATTTATGATGATTATGTTTATCTTTTTCTAACTACTTTTGACTAATTGAAAATATAAAATAATTGCAAACAACGGATAATTAAAAATTCAAACGTCGATGGTGACTTACATCAGTGCATCCGCGATGATGCACCGTTGCATCTCTACGCCGCCATGCGACTCACAGTGGTGCTTCACTGCGACGTCGTCAGACAAGGCTGTGCTGTCTTGTGGAGGCTGAGCAGTCGGCAAAGAGGGAGAGTGACAAAGAGAAGAGAGAATGAGGAAGAAATACACAACTACGACGTCACTGGACAAGGCTGAGCCGTCTCGTGGAGGCTGGGCCGCCGACGGAAAGGGAGGAGAGTGGCATCAGTAGAGAGAGTGAGAAGAGAAAAGGAGGAAGAAAATTGGAATGAAATTGATTAGGATTTGTGATGTATAATTAATATTTAATATTTAAAAATGAAATATCAGATTTTGGAAAGATGAAACTTGAGATCTGATTTTGGATATGGANTTTCAATTTGATTTTTGAAATTAAATCTTTAAAATTCTGATTTTGTGTAATTTCCACAACTTTTATTAGGATATTGAAAAATAAATCATGTGGTGCACTCATGATATGGCGTCAAACTTCAACTTTAGTTCTTCAAAGGTCATCAAATTATCAAACACTCTCATAGGTCTACAAGAGAAGTAAATTAAATGAAAATATTTTATCAAGAAATTAGTGTACGAAATTTGCTATTTTATGTTTTTTCCCATTCTTAATTAGCTAGCTATATATATGCTCCTTGGCTTCTTATGTTCTGATATTATATACGGAGAAACAAACCTGGTGTAGCAATAAGGACAACGCTATATAATTGAAACAATACATGGACATAAAGAACAAAAAGACATAAGTACAATGGTTTTTCAGTAGAGCAATGGCGGAAATTGATAAAGGAAAAATTACATATATAGTCAAATAACTCAAATAGGCAGCACAGCTAAGAGTTCATACAAGAGAAGGGAGAGAACGTTTCAAAGCCGAATAAACAGCATGCCACCCCTGGTCTGAAGGATGTATCGAATCCCAGAAAAATGACTGCTTGGGATTCTCACAGACGACATATTTCTTCGTCCCACTTTTATCAACACTCCCACATGAGCCTTCACCGTTCACACCAAGACAGCATGGCTTCAATCCATTTTTGAATGTCAAATTTTCTGAAATCGGAGATATATTTATTATTAAAAGAAAATATGATTAATAATAATACATGTATATGTCCTGCTAACTTGAATTACCTGGATGATTTTGTTTAAATTTCAAGGCAGAAGAGAATGCGCTATAGAGGTCAAGGAATACAAAAACAGATGAGGCACCAGTTTCATTGTTCAACCTGTGCAGATTTTGCTGAAGCAGTTGGTTGTGAAACTGTGCTACATTATTTCCTGTATCGCTGCAATTTTGATATGAAGTTGAAGCAGTTATTGAAGGTAAACACCCTAGAGGTCCAATACCTGTGACGGCTACTTTCTGCACTCCGAATCCATGTACACGCTTAAGATTCAAGACTAGCTGATCAATGACTGATTTAGTGAATGCCTCCAAACCCTGTTCACATTAAGTGCACCTTATGCAGATAGGTAGGAATAGAATGGACAGGACTAAAGAACCGTTCAATGATATTGAGTCTACTTTACCTAATATACCACGTGCATAAATATTATTATATTAGGAAAAACGCCAATAAAATTACTAATTTAAATTTTCCATCACTATTAGACTAACACATTAGCGAAGCATTATTATTATTATTATTTTAAAGAAATAACACGTGCAAGCATGTCACGTGTATATTTGTGTCGTCTAACCTTGTGATAATTAGTTGAACCACTTACCTCTAATGAGCCATTTTTGGCAAAGTAAGTACCATAGTCATTGCCTGATAGGGACACGAGGACAATAGAGGATGAACTTAGATTGTTTCTTGTGTACACATTTTCTTGAACGAGTTGTTGAAAGAAATTGATTTGTGCAGTCATATTCGGTTGATCAACCAATGTGTTGAACACTCCTGTCCCTCCATAAGCAAAATTCATCCCAGTTTCTATCCATTTCTCTTCCAACTTTTTCCATTCATAAGGTACTGGAGATCTTATACCAAGAAATGAAGCTGCATTTGAATTTAAAGGAATATAAAAATGTTAAGACACTGTGCTGATTAAAAGGGATACTTGTATATGTAAGTAGAATTATAACATGTCAAGTACGTTGAACTGTATAGGATTAACGATTAACGGCGAGATACATGTAAGATTTTGTTCATCACCAGTTTAACGTAGATTTAGAATTATATGTCCGGTATCTTGGACGGGATAAGATTAACAAAAAGATATACATGACATATTATATAGTCGTATCCAGTTCAACCCCTGTTTCATACTGATTAAATCCAAATTTTAATCTAAGTCAAAATCAACAATTAATTTCAACTACATATTTTATCAAAATCTACTAAAAATCTAATTTTAATCCCAATCAAATAGGGGCTCAATGCATAGACCTATGTAGTTTTATCCAATTCAAAGTCTAAATTGCTTTATTTTATTACTATATATTAACTGCTGGGTCTATATTATCAAGAAAAAAAATTGAAAAAGTTTACAAGGTGCATGTAGCATTTTACCAATTCCTAAATTACCAATAAATTAAGAAATCCATAATTTGTTCTTACACGGGAAAATCAAGGCGAAGTGAATTGGATTTAACCCCTTTATATTCATATAAATTCACAAAAAATTTAATAAGACAAACAACGAGAAAAAAAATTAACCCAAATATAAACTACAAGTAAAGTAAGCATTGAAGATAAATATAAATGAATGAATGAAAGGATGATAATTTTGCCAAAATAAACAATGTGTTTATGCTTGGATATCTGAAGCAATGAAGACATAATTTTGGCGCGGCCATTTATGGGATGTATGGAATCAATGTTACGCGAAAGACCCAAGTTTAAATTTTGCCGTGACAGCTCATTTATGAAAATTGTGTGTCTGAACGGAAATGATTTCATATGAGCTTGTACGGTAACTAAAACTTTTAGATGCCATGATTAACGAGAACTTACCAATGTAATCCGTGAGAACACGACCATCGGAAAATCTTCCAGATGGTTTTCCAGGGAAAGTGATTCCATATGGTTGTTTCCAGGAACTGGATGTAGAACTTGGCAGGTTTCCTGTATCTGCATACGAGTCCCCGAAAATAAATAGCTTCACCCTGTCAACCGATTCTTCTCCAGGCCTTTGGACACCATAAACTAATTCTGAAATCATATATAAATGAACAAAAACAAATTATAAGTGCCAACAAAAAAAGCAACTTTTCGGGAAGTTTCAAGAAAATTTAATGCAATTAAGGTTAGGGTGTCTAAACCTGTGCTAACGGCAAAAGACATGAGACAGAAGAAGGTGATGCATGTTTTCTTCTCCATGAAATTATGAATAAGAAAAAACTCGAAAGTTTTGATGGAAATCAGTTCACTTTGTTGATGGAAAGTCGAGTTTAAAAATATATGAAGCACGCAAGAGAGAGAGAGAGAGAGAGAGAGAGGGGAACGGGAGGGAGGGAGGGAGGGGGCGTTGATGTATTGTATCTGTTTGAGTTGTGCTGTGGTTACAGGTCCCCCACTGATCCCTCACAATAGGGATGAAGGTGGGATTTTTTGGGCAATTTTTTATTATCATGGGTCTCATGCGGGGTCCACCAGTGTGAGTGTGTGCAAAACTTTTGTGAAACCAATTTCTACACAAACGGCTTTGCTCTATTTTTGAATTCAAGTACGAATATTTTATTATGTGAATGTGTTATTAAAAATGAATATTAAAAAAAAAAAAAAAGAGTTCTAAAAATATGGCTGTCAAATGGGGAGGTAATGATAATAATCACGATTACTAGTGATTTTTTATTGATGTAAGATCATCATGCTTGATGTACAGAATTATTTGTCTACTTCCTTGACATTTTATCATTGGATTGTTTAAAAAATAATCAATTTTTTGCACCCAAATATATACTGCCAACCCTTCATCATATGTCAAGTAGGTGGACGAGAAATTCTATAGAAATAACTAAATTCAATTACCCACGTTAGAGTATATCTTTTGCTGTATTTATAATAGAAATGATCTAATGCCCACGATGGAAATTATAACCCATGCCCACCGGGGGCATTAGCTAGAGTTTAGAGTGGTTATTTCAACCAAAAAAGTGTGTGTCTATATATATATATATATATTGGAATGAATAAATAAATTGATAGTATATTTTAACGTACTTTTAATATTAACTACAAAATATTTTTCTCAGATTCTTATTTGCAAAGCCGTTAGCTAAAAAAATCTAAATAAAAGTCAACAGTTAATTTTAATTATATATTTTATGGAAAATTCACAACTTTTAGTGACCTTTCAACTACACGTTTTATCAACTTTTATGAAAATCTGCTATAAATATTTTTACGGGCAAATGGTGAAAGGAAATGCAAAGATGCTGTGCATATTTTTGGTGAATTGACTTGTGTAAATCCACGCTTTATTTTTTGACATAACAAATGTCTGAACTTGTGAATCAATAGCATGAATTTCCTCTTTTCGAAATATTATACATCCTCTGTAAGCTTGATCTTTAGAAGAAGGAATGGTGGCCGATCTTAGAATGACAATCAAGTCAATATTGTAGCATGCTGAAGAAAGAGAAGAAGAGTTGTTTAGTGGAGGTACGAGCCCGACATCTCATTTTCTTCCTTTCGAGATCAAGAGGTTTGGACAGTTCAACCAACTCTATTTGTTTCGTGCTTGAAATGCTTACATCCATGGACGCATATAGGGGGCAGGACTAAATAAAGTGACCCGAAAAATCCACAAAAACTCTCTCCCTCTCTCTCTCTCTTCGCAGTATTTCTTTCTTAAACCCGCCTTCACTTCCTTCTTGCCACTGCCTTCGATTAAATTAATGTTTGGTATTGATTCCCTTGTCATTAATTTCATTCTTTGTGGATGAATCTCGTGTTCTTTGTGGATTCAAGTGTTGATGATTTAGATTGGCAAGAAATATTTGTCCGTTGTTATCTTATTCTTGAAGGTTTTTGTGATTTTTTATTTTTCGTTATTTTGGTTTTTCATTTTTTATTTAAATTGATGAATGGAGTAATTGTCTTTTTATACGACCTTAACCATCAAACCAGACAGATTCTGTCAATATGGACGTGAATTGCTATTAAGTGAAATGTTGGGGATGTCTAGTGCTAAAAAAAACATTTTGAAAAAATTGGGAATCTAAAGTGCAAAAAATCTAATTACAAAATGCAAAGAAAGAGAAATTTTAATGAACAGAGAACATCTGTAGAGAAACATTCTTGTGAAGACTAACAAAACTACATACAACTGCCTCATCCACATGTACAACTCTTAAATGAGAAAGAAAAGCATTCACCATGACAGCATTAGTAGACTATATGGCCATGTATGGTACACGGGACAAGACTACAAAGTACACTGGACGAGATTTTAACTTTCTTTTTCTTCCTCAGTAACGTCCAGGTGTCTAATCTAGTTTATTAAACAAGTCACACAGGTTGGCAAGTTTCCGGTAATGCTTAGGATAAAAGAGGGGCTTCAATGTTTTCCGTGTTGTCCTCTAATATCCTGTTGGATGGAGCATCTAGTTTCAGAGTCCAGGCAAAACACAAGGAAATGACCTGAAAGTGAAACCATGGAGAATCATTAGAATCATACAAGTCACAGTAAGACTCAAATGTAATCACGTGATCCTATGATTAGAATCACGTGATCAGATCAGTCACAACAAGACTCTTAGAAGGGATCATATGATCCTCTCATCATAACCATGTGACCATAAGTCAAAATCACATTGTTGCAATGATGTGATCGATTGTATCACTTTTGACAAGACTTTCAAATGGGATCTTATTATCCTATCATAATAATTATATGATCTTATCGGTCATAACAAGACTCTTAAATGTGATCATATGATCCTATCGGTCACAACAAGACTCTCAAATGGGATCATATGATCATATCGGCACCACAAGACTCAAATGCGATCTTCTACAAGCAAGTGCCATGTATTAAGGACATGTACAAGCTTACCATGCTTATAGATGCAAATATAATACTGAAGCCTTTACAGTCAAAAGGAGCATTGCTGGATAGAAACCATGCTGGAATAAGATAGAATCAAGAGTAAAGCAAGTTCAGTTGAATGGTTGTGATCTTTCTACAAGAGGGGCAGTAATAGAAAATCTAACTCACTGGTTAACGGAGTCATTGCTAGTGGAGATAATAAACTTGCAATGGATTGCACGCCAGCAATAAATCCTTGAGCTTTCCCCTGATTGAAAAAGAGGATACAAGAGAAATGAGATATTTCAATTAGAAGCAACGTTGACAGAGGATTTTCCATATTTTGAAGCATCATATCAGTGAAGTCAGATTGAAAGGGGCATAGGAATCAAGGATATAGTGTATGCTTAAGTTTCTTCTCAAGACTCTTTCATTTCATTAATTTTTTTATGACAAAATTCTCAGGTTAAGATGAATAGAAGTCAACTGGGAGGATATCGCTTGACAACTGAACTCTAACAGAGGATAGAATTAGTTCTTGTGTAACTCCGCAATTATATCATCCTAAGAGTGATTGAATTATTAAGTTTCTTGTGGAGTGGATGATATATTTGAAAATTATATTTTCTCCTTCAGTTTATAAGTATTTCATTCCAAAAGGTGCTTTAGTTCGGTTTTTGTGATACATAGATTTCTGGAAAGCAGGTGTCATCGTTGAGAACGCTATTTAGTAGTAGTGTTCACAAACCTGATCTGCTGAGTTTGACGCTTTGGATATAACTGCATAAGTCTGTCATTAACAGAAATAATGAATAAAAAAGGAGATAAATCAAATTAATTTCACGAACTAACTAACACCACTAAACCTCTTAATTACACTACTGAAAATAGAATTTCAGAAAATGACTTACAGAAGGTTTCACAAGGATGTAGATTACCCCGAACGAAGCACTTAAATAGGGCACCTGTTTCAGCAATAGCTATCAGTTATCAACTGTAACATATAAATTATTGTCAAAGTTGCAACAGAAAAAATGGGTCAGCATAGAAGCGCTAATTGTGGATATATCTTCAACTGCATGTTTTAATAAACAATATAATATAAAGACTTGACTTTCTTTTTTTCATTTAAAAGCCTGTTTGAGCCCCATTATTTCCTAAGAATGCATTTTGGAATAGTAGATTGATGGAGAATGTGTGGTAAAAAATAAGAAAAAGTTTTGGATTTGTGTGTAATATTATTTTATTGAAGAATGTGTGATTGAAACGATGAGAGAGAAAAATGTATTTTGAAAATAATGGGAATCAAACAAGGGCTTAATATTGTTTAGTACTTTCCAACCAAACATGATTTCACAGGTATAAGCCATACAAAAAGAAATGTGAAAGATAGAGAGAGAAGTATGCAAGCATCTAGATTTTAGAATGTGAGTCAACGTACCCAAGATGCCCAGGCCAAGCCATAAAGCAGTCCCTGTACAAAACCCTTTTGTGAGACCAGATTCTTTCACAAAATCAGTGTAAAGAAGAAAAGTTTCCAGCCACAATAGTTGTGTATTTCAAAGGGAACTTACATATGCTATGGAAGCGAGCAGGGCAGCACATAGTATCAGTTTCTCTCCAACCAGTGGATTGAGAAGAGGAAGAACCAGAATCTTGGAAAATGCATAAAAGCAGCAAAATTGATTAGAGAAATGGCAGAGCCTGACAAATTTCGGGATCGGCCGTAAGTGCACAAGGGGAATAGCTTATGGGATGCACGAGGATAATGGTTAAACTGTTCACATCGTTAAACCACCACATCTAAAATTGTAAGCTAATAGAAAGGGGACAAAATTATTATTGCAATTATGTCCTCAACACTCCCATGTCCAGGAACAAACTTTTTTAAGTTACATCTTCAACGCACAGACTTCAGATTTTTAAGATTTTTGAAAGAATAGGAGGATTAGTATATAAAAGAAGAACATGAAACAAAGTAGTTGCACAAGAAAAAAACAGTTTCATCGGTTTTCTCTCCATAATCATTCTAGAAAACTCTCTCATAAGGGACTGCACCCAACAATATGTAATTTCATTTTAGGACGATGGAATCTTAAAATCCCCTGCAGTTCTTTTCGTTCAATTACCAACATGATCGAGTAACAAAAGCAATAAAAAATGTTGTAGATAACAAGATAGTAGAACATATATCTTTTACTGAGCTAAGCTTTGTCAGAAGTGTTTTCTACTTTCAGCATAAACTATCAAAGAAATTTCTGAGAATATCTTCCAAGTACCTGAGAAAAAATTGAACCTACACCCACCACCATCAAGATTTCCGAAAATTGATTTTTGTTGAACCCAAATGCTGATTTCAAATAATACTGCACGGTTATCAAAGAAAAGTTAAAAGGATTCCAGGCATGAAACAGATACATTTAATTGGTTTACATCACAAACTCTCAGTAATTCATAATAAAAAAATTGATGTCTGCAGCTCAAATTGTTAGTGAATAAGAATTACTATGTTTTAAATGTCACAACACCAGTTGTAGTATCTGTCACAACAATTTTTTAAACATGTTGGGAGCTGGTTTATGGACAGAAATTTAAATTTTTGTTTTGCAAGGACGGAAAAAGAAAGTAGGAAACATTCTTGCGGAAAAAATTGATGCAGTTAACGTATCTTTTTCTGTGTATCAGTTTATAAAGAAAAGATGTGTATACCATTTGCCGGAGAAAAAAAGATGAAAATTTGCAAGAATGAGCATATATTATTGCCAATGGAATCCCTGCTCAATATAAGTATTCTTAATAGATCGAATTTAAATAGTTAGAGACATACCAGTAAGACACTGCTGATGCCAGACATTCCCAATTCATAGAAGAAGGAAACAAGAGAAATGCGTTTAAGCGTCGAGCTGAGAACAAAACTGAAACTATTTAGCAAGCTTACATGCCACAAATGATAATCTTTCTGTATTATATATTGCTTGTATGAATTGTATCCTGATTCCTATATTCTGAACAAGAAGAAGCTTTTGAGTGTTGGTAAGTTCAAGAAAATGAAACCAGTTGAAACATCATGCAAAATTACCTGCTGCTAACAACATGTACAGCATTTTTCATTGAGTGATATCGTTCCTGAACGACATTAAACGCTTTATTTAAAAAAGGAATATGCTGGTCTGCTTTTCGAGTTGGCCTTACTGTTTCTGTCAGGAACAGTGCCATGTAAACAGGAACAAAGATCAATAAAGCTATTGAGACCTGAAATTGGAATTTTTGGCAGTAAATAACGAAGTAATAACACTGAAGATAACAAAAACAAAATGCTGACAGTTCTATAACAAACATGCCTCAAAAATATAATCTTCTGGAAGAAAACGTGCTAAGGCATTCCCTATGACATGGGATGCAGAGAACAGGCCTGTGATCCAACTAAAAGCTGCTGGCCGCTTACTGTCATCCACAACATCTGCCTGCAAGATAGTAAAAAATGTTAGTAAATTTTGATTCTTGTATAACTCCCAATTCTTGTTTAACAGAAGTACAGAATGACTTACTGCATAAGCAACAGAAATGCAGAAAATGCTCCCCTGACTTATGATATAAGAGATTGTCCGGAGCACATAATAGGCATAGACAGATCCTTTTGAATCATTAACGGCAAGTAAAGCTGGAAATATTATTAAAAAAATCAATATATTTCATAAATAAAATAGAAAATTGAAACAACTGGTGAAGACAATAATGCATGAATCATAATCCTCATTGTAAGTGATAAAACATTGCATTTTTTGTATTGAGTTAACTGGAGTCGTGATTAGTTGTTGTTGCTGATCAAATAGGCACCATAAAATATTGATAAGATGATGTAACCTTATTACTCCTAATCTAAAATATATTTGTATCTGGATTATACAACAATGTTTCACAGGCCGAAACATATTCAAGAAGTCAACAGCGAAACAAGGAATTTTCCAGAGGTTAAACTAGGAAGAGATTGAAATATGAGTTTACTGAGTATGGCTTAGGTTTATACTAGAAATAATATTTTCAGAGAAAAAATTGGAAGAAGGCCACTCCTAGTCTCAAAAAAAAAAATTTATTCGCAGAATTTACAAGTTTGACATACGGGACATATGTTTTTCCTGTATTCAAAACTCTAATGCTAGTATGTTTATATAATAAAGGTGTTGTAAATCTTTTTGGTAAGTATTTGTTCAAAAACCATCCATATTTTGACTCCTAAAGTATCTGTTTATAGTTGGATGGAGATTCTACCAGAGCGAGAGAAAACGTGAAGTTGTGTGACATATCTTCATCGTCATAATGCTCGTAGAATTGAAGTTGATGTTCCTATCAAGAAGAATTTAGTAAGTCTCCTAAGCTTGCATCATCCAGATTATTTGTCTAAAACCAGTACCTTGTCAATTTCTATTCCTTAGGCAGTTACATTCAATACTGTTAATGAAAACAATTTTTGGAGTTAATCCATAGGCATAGCATTATCATTTAATTGCCACAGTTGAACCCAAAAGAAAATTTGCAAGATTTTCAAGTTATGTACAAAAAGGTGCACAAAGAAACGTACTGAATGGAACAATTGTTGTAGATACAGTGAGAAGAAGCAGCGGTTTACGCCCATACTCATCAGCAAGCTGGCCTAAGAGGGGAAGTACAAACATCTTGAATATCCCCACAACCTACAAGCAAAAATGCAGGCCTAAAACTTGACTGGAGGGCATGATTATAAGTAGTAAAATGATAGTAAAAAATTTCAGTTATGTCAATTAATTGCACTGAGAATAGTTTATATTGCTTGAACTTTTACATAATCTTCTGGTAAGGTTCATATGCATATAAGCCCCTTACAGCCATTAATTACTTCAATACATCGTGTGATAAAATCTCCCACAAGGATACCGTATTTTTCCATATTAATATTGATTCCTTCCAAATCCAACAACCCCCCAACTGCAAAAAGTAAACAATCCAGCAGCCTTCCACGGTCATTCTATGCCCCCTTGTATCCTTTCTTAGATTTCACAAGGTTGCGAAATTGTTTTGTTCAACATTCATTGTAATCTACTGTACCGATTAGACTCGAGAATCTGGTACAAGTAGACAACTATTTCTTCTTCCAAAGCAGTAGAGATATCATCTCACGTATAACAGAAGAATACGTGCAAAAATATCAGGAAAATACTGAAAATATGCATTAAAAAAGTATTGCATCTAAATGAAACTGTCTGTTTATTAAAGATAGTGATAGTGATATATTATTTGGTGGGTGGTCCATTTTGCTTAGAAAAGTGGTGGCCTGATTTATGCTCTCCATGAAATTTGACTAGATGGTCCACTCAACTTATTGATTATAGTGATAAATAATTATTCCTATAAGGTCTTTAGAATTTAACTTTTATTACTCCAACAAAAGGAAAAGTTCATGAATCCGTACAGCCAAAACACAAATGTGAATTTGCAACTTCACAACAATGGCATTAGATGGTCGAAGTACATATCTCATAAGTTTGAGGGCCAGCTCTCAGCTCCAGAACTTTCAATTCTTTTTTTTTTCAAGAGAAGTATAGGGGATAGTCACACATAATAGAAAAAATCATGCATAATGGATTCTTGAATTAAATTTCCATCAATCAAGAATGCTTTCTCGTTTCAGGGTATGTTTGACCAAAAGTGTTTTTTAACCAAGGTGTGTATAAACACCTTCCCACACACATGCTCAGTATTTTTTTTCTTCAAAGGTCGTGACCAATCTACATGTTTCAAGATAAGAAAACGTCATCTTGAAGTTGACCCATACCATAAGTTATTAATGATCAATTAATAACTTATGTAGAGGCATTAATATCTTATGGCCCATAGTTTGATTTATCAGAAGTGAACAATAGAAAACAAACAAATCGAAAGGAAAAACTTTTAACAAAATTAGTCACATCAAGATGCACATGGACAAAATTAGACAAGATGCAATTTGACAAAATTAGACATTTCAATGCTTCCTTTGGACGAAAAACTTATCCATAAGCGATGCTTAAAATTGTCATTAAAATGAAAATTTTCCTCTAGAGTGATATTTAGTTAAGCATGCAAAAGGACAGCTTTCAGAGTAATTAAATTAATCGATTCAAAACCAATAAATGGACACTTTCTTGCACCATCTACTTTTAATATAATAAATGAATAAATAAATATGTAGCTGTCAAGAAAGTAAGACTCAGACAATTCAAGAATCTGTTTCAGCAGTAAACACCACCATAGTCGAACAGCCAAAAGCTTTTCAAAACAATAAAGCCAAGGAGATACTCTTTTAGATAAAAGATACAACTGAGTTTTAAGCTTTTGAATACAAATAATCTAATTCATTTCTAGATCTGTACAATCTCGAAATGCTGCTAATTTGCATTCTTTATATATTGTTGCAAACTTACACTCTTCATAGTTTCATTTAAATAAGTTGGATCAAATCAATAATCCCATAAAGAAGGACAGTTATTAGCTAAAGGTCAAAAGTTAAAGATCAGACGTCACAGAAAGGCAAACTCCATCCAAACCCAGATAATTTAGGAGTCATGATTTGTTTGTATAAAAAAACCCAAAAAGGAAAAAAAAAAAAGAAAAGAAAAGAAAAAAAAAAAAAAGAAAAGAATCCTTGTTCATCTCCTTTAACCGCTGTCTTATCTGGCACAAACACAAGGACACGCTCTATAATCCCTAAAGCTAAAACCACAACCATTTGGCTAGGTATGAATTATAGTTCAAATATTTCTTAATCTCTTTCATATTAATGTTCAAGATGGAAAAACAAATATCTCACAAAGTAGAAACATCTCGATCAAGGTAGCAGACCCATTCTCTGTACTATCAATATAAATAATCAAAATTCAACCCTCTGAAGGTTTGACTTTTACAGTGAAGCAATCATCAAACAATAAAACCCATACCCAGAGATTGTTTCTGCTTATGAGTATGCGTATGTGTAGGTGTTCGTGTGTGTGTGTGTGTGTGTGTGTGAGAGAGAGAGAGAGAGAGAGAGGGGGGCACAGATCACTTACTGTTTGTTGTAGACCATTGATGTAAATTGCCTGAGGGCAAGTTTTCAGGCCAGGACAAAGAGAATTAGTGGTGACATCAACCAAAACAGAAACAGTCATTTCTTCCGCAACCCAGTGCACACATAATGGCAAAAGAAGTTGCAACAATGGCCTCAACTCTCTCAAGTTCTCCCACAACCACCCCGCCATTCTTCAATTTCTCTCCGTTTATTTAGCAACTCCCAGCGCTTTACATTCTATGTTGTGCGTATAATTATTATTCAGGTATTTATAGTTGAAAATTATGGGTAGTTGAAAAGGAGCAATTCTGTATTGAAGAAGGTGGAGTTTGATCAATATGATAATGAAATGCGTACGTATAGTGGCTTGAGTTTAATAATGAAGTGACTCTGTGAAACGTTGTACCATGTGTATCCTAAGGTGTACATTGCGTATGGTGTGGGATACAGTATTAGCCCGTGCCTGCATAGGGTGAGTGTGTGGTTCCACGGGCCTGACGAACTTATTACCGTTACACGAAGCAAAATAATAATTGTTTAGACGAAATTTATAATTAGATAAAATTTTCATTATAATTTGCTCACCTATATTTTAACACCTCATCATTATGTAAATACTGTATTTTTCAAAAATTAAACAATAAAATTACGACAACTAAAAATTTCCCAAATTAAACAATTGTTTTCCTTTCCATTCATTTAGTCTCTGTTTAAAATCAGATTTTTAGTAGATTTCGATAGAAATTGATGAAATATGTGGTTCAAAAATTGTGGATATCATATAATGTGTGCTTAAAATTAATAGTTGTCTTTAATTTATATTAAAATCTGAATTTTAATTTCTACCAAATATGGACTTAAATATGTTTTCTAAGAAAAAGTAAAAGATAAGAATAAGCAAATTTGTCACTAATTGGAATTAAACAATTATTTTCCTTTTAATTCATTTAAGTGTGTTTTCTAAGAAAAAGTACTAATTGGAATTTAATTTTTTCTCTTTGAATTTTACTTTTTTAAAATCAAATATTAATTTTAATCATACATTTTGTAATATCTACAAGTACTACTCAACTATTAACCAATATTTTCTTAAAAAAATAATTTTAACAACAAAACATGAAACTCAGCTCTGTTTGATGTCCATTATTTGAAAACTCTTTTTTTCAACATAATTGCAGAATATTTTATTGTGTGAATGTATAATTAAAAATGAAACTCAGCTCTGTTTGATGTCCATTATTTGTAAACTCTTTTTTTCAACATATTCATTTTTAATTATACATTCACACAATAAAATATTCTGCACGTAAACTCAAAATTTTTCCTTACTTTTTAATCATACAATCTCCTAAAAATTATTAAAAACATTATTTTTCCAAATAATAGCCGTCAAACGGGGGTTCAAATAGAGGCAAGAAATTTCTCTCCTTCAAAATTAATATAAGAAAGCTTTCAAATGAAATAATTATTTTCCTTCCAATTCATTTAAGGATGTTACATGAGAAAGAGTAAAATGGAAGTCTGTGAATGTAAATGTGAGTATGACAATAAATAAATTGGATTTAGGGAAGTGTTTTGGTTAATCTTAGATAACTTTTAAGTAAATTTATTTCGGAAAATTGCAGCATTTGATCCTCCTTTTTAGAAAGTGTAAATAGGTCTTAAATATTTTATTATTTTCATTGTCGTCTAGACGGCAATGAGGCGACCAATATTATCATCACCTCCTCCGACATTTTTGATGGGTAGGACAAGAATAAAAAATAAAAAACTTGCCATGCCCTTTATTTTTATTTTTTTAATATTTTTTAAATATATGATTTAAATTTAAACAAAGTATAATATTCATAAAATAAAAAGAGATTTAAGGGCGACTTCGAGAAATTTGAAGCGGGGACCATATTCCCTCTCACAATCCAATCCCAATCCCATTTTTTTAGGGCGAGAGCGTGCTTCAAAAAGGAGTCCAAATTTATCAAAGAAACTTAAAAAAATCACCAAAATAGCATATTGGGCAAAACTAAAAATAGATCGAGCCGCACCAGACCAGACCACTGTGCAAGCGTTTTGCAAACCCGTAGTGAACTATGGCAAACAGGTAGCCATGCCAGACCGCGATCCAGCCGAGGTTAGCAAACCGCGGTTGATTGGGGTGAATTCCGACTCCAAAAGTTTCAATTTGGTCCTCAAATTAAGTTTTTGTCCAATTTTGATCATTTCAAACTTAAACTTCAGTTTTAATGTCAAAATTTCTAAAATCTTCCAAATTTATTCCCTGTACTTTCATTCGAAATTGGGCCGTCTCAGTTCAAAAAATGTGCAATTTAATGGCCGGTTTTGAGAATTTTAAGGTTGTAGACGACTAATTATTATAAGGTCATGAAAATATTTGCATTTGTAACAATACTTGAACCGAACAACTTTTTTAGTTTTTCTTTATTTTCCACAAGGAATTTCAATAAAATGAGACCAAGCATGGATCCAGGATCGAACTAGAAGTTTAGTTAATATTAAAAAAATTACCCAAATTTTTTCTACATATTATTACTATTATTACACAAAAAATGAATGGGTTGGTTCCCCTACATCCGTCCCCGCAGGAGACCAATAATTGAATTAAATATGGAAGTTAATTTATAGCTTGTGACAATACCCTTTTAGTTTGTGTGCTTCTTCAATTTTAATTGACAAATTGGAAGAAGCATACATAAATAATAGCACTAGCATCAATAAGTTGTCGAATTTCTTATCTTTTGATTATAGAGAAAGAGAGTAGACAATTATAATTGTTTAATGAACTCAGAACGATAAGTATAATTAAAAACAACAAGCCACTTTTTTCTTTCTTTACACCTATGCATAAATAAGAGATNACACCTATACATAAATGAGAGATCCAAGTCAAAATCCTTTTTGAGTTGCCAGAAAAATACATTGGTCTAATCAACGACAGTAATTAAATTGAAATATGTGTCATTCAAAAAGAGATGCATTGATGAAATTTTTTTGGAGGCCCCCCAAAATGTTGAGGCCCAAGGCCTTTGCCTAGTAGGTCTTGTACCCTCGTATGTGATGAAGACACGAGTGACATATTAAGAAAAATGTTATTCAACACCATTTGTGTAAAGCATCAGTTTATGTGTCAATTGCATATTATGGATTCACTTAAATATAATGTCATATGATTCATTTAATTGAACATATCAAATGTGATTATCTAAATTGGTGTTTTAACATTACAGATGCTAGATAACGTTATTCTATTAGAAAATATGCATTTGTTGAAGTTCGGTTCCAAGTGCTAATATATAGTTTTGCTTTAGTCATAAATGAACTTACTAGTTGTCTTGAGGATGAGGGACGGTGTATTTTTAATATAGAGTTGATCGATGAAATTAAGAGAGAAATATAGTCTACTCTATGTGGCGGAGTAATCAATTTAACTAAGCCCTTATTTGAAGTTGATTTTTCAATTTCATTTTTTCTCAAACATATTTTTATTCATAATTTCTCTTCAGTAAATAATTTTACACATAGATCTATAACTTTTTCCTCACATTCTTTGAAAAAATTACTCTTCACAAAGTCACTTCTCAAAATCAACATCACACAAGGGCTAAATATTTAATGCTTGTTTTAATAATTTTTTTGAAGTGTTTTAACATATTTTCTACTTCTTTTGTTTTTGCTTATGCTTCCTATAGAAAAGTTTTTTGAGGAAGTTAATGCAACATTTTTATGAAATTTTTCTACAAAAAATAGAAGTAGAAACAAGGTTATCCCAAACAGGTCCTAAGTATGATTCGTTACCCAGTTATGATGATTCCAAGGCTCCTTTGCGAGAGCGTCTATGAAATACTCTAAATACAAAATACTCTTTATTTGTTTAAAAATAAGTTTCAAAAGACATGGATTTGACTCTATTCTTAATTATAATGATTGTATTTAATAATTTAAGTATTTCAATGCTTTAATTTCTTAAATTACTTAAACCATATTTAAATCGATTGAATATTGATGTATAAAAAAATGTTAAAACTCTTGTTTGGTAAAGATTAAAATCTAAATTTTAATCTAAGTAAAATTCAGTAATTAATTTAACCACATATTTAATTAAATTCACAACTTTTCAATAACACACTTCAACTTTTATCGAAATTTATTAAAAAAATGATTTTAATCCCCACCAAATATGAAATGAAATATGGTGGGAAATCAATAAATGTTAATTGATAAAAGTAAAATGAAGGTCAAAATAGGGAGCATTTTTGAGGTGTATTAATTATTCTTTAAATTTAAAAGTGTTCTCTATTATACATAAAGCGTCTTTACTTACTGTTTTTGGATGAAAGATAAATAAAGGTTGAAAGTGGACCTATAAATGTTAAAAAATTGGTTTAAAAAAAGAAAAAAAGTTGTCGCATTAAAAGGTGAATAAAAATTTTACTTTCTTCAGCCATGAATTCTATTTTACTAAAATCTTCTAGCGGAATCTGTGTCGTGGCCTGAAAAAGTTTGTCACATAATACGATTAATGGTTGGCTTAAAATGGAGCGACATGTGTCGACCGTTATATTCAAAAAGAAGTCTGTTTGTGTTTCAAAGAGAATTGTCTCTTCCGAACGAGACATGTCTTTTTTTGAATGTCTTTATCGAAGTAATAGCATACGTTTTGCGTATCATAAATAGATTTTCATACTTACAGATAAATATTCGCAGCAGACAGAATAACCTTTACACTCGACTTCCCATTGAAGTTTACGGCAGCAAGAATAGTGCTTCTTCCCCCACCCAACCCCTCCCTCTTCCATGCATATCAACATTCCAACTGCTCCCTGTTTTGTTCCCCAGAATTTGACACTTTTTTCTCAAATGCAACTTTCACGTGCTACTTAGCCTCAAGACAAAATCAAAGCCTTTTATTGTGACAAAAATATATCTTTTCTCTGCTTATTTTACTTCAAACTTGTGTTCTTCTCGTGTTCATGCTTTACTTCTCAAGTATATACATCCATCTCTATGCTCTTTCTCTCTCTATATATATACAGATGTACCATCTCTAATAAACATCAGTGTTCCTCAATATTCTCATAAGTAAGTTATTTATATTTTGTTACAAGTAAAAGAGTAAAATAAGTTATTTATTCACAGCTTCGACCAACAAAATAGTTGATAAACTTACTATGGATGCTTTATTTTCAGGAGCAAATACAATTAAGTCGGCATGGAGAAGCAGAACACAGAGCTGTACTTGAAGAACTGCCATATTATTCTTGAAAATGAGAGGCTAAGAAAGAAAGCACAACGGCTCGACCAGGAGAATCGGGCTCTGTTATCTCAGCTGCAGCACAGACTTTCAGAACCAAGTTCTGGACAAAAAAATGAAATCAACGACACTCCAAATTCCGTGAAAGATCATAGGAAATCCAACAAACCTTGATCATTATAACCCATGTAATCAATTTCGTGTAAAATAAGGTTTTTCTGTATTGTTTAATTCTTCAAAAGTATTAATTAATAATCGTGCCTTTATACTTGTTTGGACAATTTGTGAGACGAAATAATGTAATAAATGTTTGTATTTGTTACAAAAGTAAACATATAAGACCCTAATGTATAGTATCCTCTTTATAGGGACTTGTCTTGTAAATATATGTAACTTATGTATATATGTATAACCTAAGGGATTTTTATGAAATAAGAAGAAACGGATTCTCTCCCTCTCCTGTGTCTCGTGAGCTCGTGAGAAG